TTTTATGTACTCATTGAAGTATTGCACATCAAAGCTATAAAACGCTGGAAAAGCCTGAGAGTTGAGGGGAAAAAAATACAACAAAGTCCATCTGCTGGGTTGTACAACACAATTTGGCATCTCATCAGTGCAGATGCTAACGCTGACAGCAGTGTTAAATCATTAGTGGCCATTCCAGCCCCCGACCATCAGTGGATCCCAGCAGTGATTCTGTCTTCTCTGCTCACAGAGGAGTATTTCTCATCTGTTTCTCTAACCAATCTTTTGCCACTAAGTCAATTTCATCTTTGATTATCTTTTTTTAATCTTTCATAAAGAGAAGACATGGTTCGTTTACCTGACAGGTTTCTGTGCGTTTGTGTTAGCGCTCGATCTCTTTTCAAAAAGAAACTGAAGCAGAAGACTCTGCTGCTGGGAAACTGTGGCCTAATGTGTGCCGTCTCCTCACGGCAGGCACTTTTGAATGGAATGTCTGAATTAGCCGTCTCTTCTTGTCTGTCTGGACTGGTAATGAGGGAACAAATAAAAATCGCTCTGCATCGTGCTATCAGTTTCACATTCTCATTTTCCGTAATAGCTTTTACAAAAAATCAAACAAAACAAAACCCAAAAAGCTTCACTTGTGTGGTGAATCAGTTGTTTTGCTACAAGGAGTGAGAGAGGACTCTATCACTTTGAGTCTTTCACCTTTTCTTCTTGTCTTAATTTGTTTTAAATTATCATTATTATTATTATATGTTACAGTAAACTGGAGGCCTCAGGGAATGGGCGCCACTCTGAAGGCGTAGCAATCTCCTGGTTCTACACAGTGCTTTGTGGTTGGTGGTCCCCTTAGTGTTTCTGCTCATAGTGAATAATAACCCTATTGTGACTAACGAGGACACAGTACAGTGTCACAGTGTAAGGAGCCATAATGCATCAGTGTCACAAGTCCCAGTATAATAAAAACCCTCTGTACAGGATGATATGGTATTAAACTTGAATGGAAACATGGAGGTATTTGGGTCACTGCTGCAGCAGCACACAGTGGTTACAGACAGGAGAATATGTAGGCATACAGGCATGAAACATACAATGTACAATTAATACAACATTTAAACATAAACATCTTTCTAAACATTTCTAAACATCTCTCCTCTGTGGTGGAAGCTAACAGTGAAGGTCTATGCTGCTATATTCTAATGTTGGTCATCATGGGGGCACTCAGAGAGATCAAGGTTTTCTCAGGTGGTACAGAGTAGAAAAAGTTTAAGAATAAGAATAAGAATAAGAATAAGAATAAGAATAAGATGAAATAATTGTAGGACTATTCCTCTCACTCCAACCATTAAGGCATTGTAAATTCCAAATATATTTTTATTAGGTGAAAGAATTCTGTATTAAAAATGCAAGAACTAATAGACTAGATAAAAAGCTAAATACATTTAGTTTTCTACACTATACAGTACTACAAAGCGCCTGAAGTCCTGTGAAGTGGTATCGTTATCTGCTGCTCACATATAAAAAACAACTCATATAAACAGGATAAAATTTTTATTTGCACCAGGCAAAACTGTTGATGATTCTGTCATTAAATCGAATTATCATTGGACTGAATGTGTCTCAATTATGAACATGTGAAAATTGTTTAATTAATCTCAGTTAATTGCTTTGTTTCTTGGTATGAGGCAATAGTGTAACATGCAACAAAAACTATACCAAATACCGACAGTTACAGGTCGACTCGGTTCTCATTGGGTTCCTAGAATTCCCTAAAACATTATTCTTTTTTAGTAAAAGACTAAATATTTCTAGTACGGCAGCTTCTGTTGCAGTGGAGATGAATGTGTGTTGTTGTTTTATCTAACTGTTTTATCTGTTGTTTTATCTAACTCAGCCGATATTCCTACTTTTTTTAAAAATATGTATTTACATGATCAAATTATTGACAATGTGGCTTTTGTTTCTGTAGAATTTCTCCTGTTTTGATCAACAGTCAGGGTCTCGTAACAACAGTATTGTACAAAAATAAACTGCTGGATTTATCATCTCACAAAAGTGCACGTCCTTTGACATGCAGGTCAAAGGAAGCGTGCAGAAATCAGTTCAGAAATCAATTGAATTCTGAACTGAAGCCTCTGACTTATGGTTGTCATGGTAATGTTGTCTTGTTAAGCTGTGACACAATTTACAAATATCTCTGTTGAAATATTATGTAACATATCCCTCTTCTCCCGTCCAACTACTGCTGTTTTCTCTTCTGTCATCCTCCACTGCTGCAGCACAGATGTATTGATGTATTAAGCTGTGCTTGTGTGTGTGTGTGTATCCTTGTGGGTTTTTTTTATAAATCCTAATACAGATCAAAGTCTGATTGAGGAATAATTCAGTTGTGAGGTTTATTTTAGATTGTATTTAGATGAAATTAATTGATATTTCATTTCATTGGCAGAAATTGAATATAAAAAATTTCCGTGCTTTTTTAAACGTTTACATTCATTAAAATGATCTAAGGATGATGATGTCACCGAGAAGTGTATATCCTTTTAATGATACCTAATGGCTATGCCATATGTTCTCCTACATGCTTGGATAGAAATCAGGTGAGTGGGATTTTAAACCATGACATGTAACATGACTCAGTGTTTCTATATCATTCAAACCAAGGATTTAGTTTTGTGTCTAGGTCATAATTGGGGGAAGTTAATACGTCATTAAGGTTGAAGATGAGGAATTACTGTTAGTCAGTGGTTCACAAAATGGGGGGCAGGCATGAAGTGAAGGAGAGAGGGCAGCAAAGGAATTTAATTTCAGTGTTAATATATTTTGTGTTGACTTTGTTCAATGAAATTTTTTTTTTTAATTTTCTCCACAAGTTCCTCAAAACAGTTCCCACAGCTGGATTTAAGTGTAAATCGAGGTTGTAGGTGAAAAACTAAGCCTTTCACCTTTGTATGACGTGCGTGATCCAATAACAGTTGTGACCTTGTGCCCCGTCCCGTCAGCGGTCCAAAGACTTGAGCCCACTGTCCTCTACACGGAGATCATCCCTCTGCAGGACACAGTTTGCTTCACTGGTTCCTCACTGAAAGATGAAGAGTGATGAGGCGGAGGAGGACGGGGCGAAGGCGGAGTGGGTTTTTGACAACAAGAAGAAGAGAGGAGCGCTGGGCAGAGGAGTAGGAGTGGGACGATAGGTGAAGTGCAAAGAGAGAGCTAGGAGGAAAGAGGTGGTTGGCTGCAGTGAAAAGAAGAGATAGAGAAAGGCCGTACAGAGACCAGTCTTCTCTGCTTCCCCTGACTAAGAATAGCAGCTCTTCTGGTAACCCACTGCCCGAGGACATGGCCATCTGAATAAAAGCCTCCATCACTTTGTGCGATGTCTGGTGTGCAGGCGTTTTTGCTGTGTGTGTGCGCCCTCTGCTAAAGGTGTGTGTATTTATAGTGCTGCAGGTTGTGAAACTGAAGAATGATTTGTGTAGACAGATGCTGAGGGAGAGCGATCACAATAAGAAGCGAGACGGTCAGGAAATTAAAGAGGAAAAAAGAAGCATGGGCTGAGAGGAGGTGATGATACAGTAATGGTCTGGAGGAGGACAGAGGTTGGACCCAGACTCGGTGTTGGTTTAGTTGGTTGTTTTTCTTACAGCCATCCATCCCCCTCTATCTCCATGACCTGTCATATTAGGGCTGTCAATTGATTGAAATTCTTAATCTGATTAGTCACTGGGTAGCTGTTGGTTATCCATCCATCCATCCATCCATCCATCCATCAATCCATCCATCCATCCATCCATCCATCATCGTCGTCGTCTGCTTCTCCGGGGCCGGGTCGCAGGGGCAACAGTCTGAGCAGAGACACCCAGACTTCCCTCTCCCCAGACACTTCCTCCAGCTCTTCTGGTGGGACCCCAAGGCCTTTTGGCTCAGCTCCTTCTTCACCACAACAGACCGATCCAGTGACCGCATTACTGCGGCTGCTGCACTGATCCATCCTGTTCCATCCTACCGTCGCTTGTGAACAAGACCCCAAGATACTTAAACTCCTCCACCTGAGGCAGGACTTCCTCCCCAACCCAGAGGGTGCAAACCACCGCAGTGCATGCTGCAGGTCCTGGCGCAAAAAGCAGAGATGAAATCCGGTGGCTCCTGAACTGGACCCCACCCGACACCAGGCTGCACCTAGAAATTCTGTCCATAAAGATAATGAACAGAACCGGGTGACAAAGGGCAGCCCTGCCATAGTCCAACATTCACCGGGAACAGGTCCGACTTACTGCCCGCAACCTACTCCTATCGTACAGGGACCGGACAGCCCTTAGGAGAGGGCCCCCGACCACATACTCTCAGAGCACCCCCCACAGAGTACCACAAGGGACACGGTCGAAAGCCTTTTCCAAGTCCACAAAACACACGTGGACCGGTTTGACAAACTCCCATGAACCCTCAAGCACCCTGTGGAGGGTATAGAGCTGGTCCAGTGTTCCACAACCAGGACGAAAACCGCATTGTTCCTGTTGAATCCGAGGTTCGACTACCAGCCGGATTCTCCTCTCCAGTACCCTGGAATAGACTTTTCCCGGGAGGCTGAGGAGTGGCGGAAGGCGTGTCAGCGGGATTGAGGAGATCCTCGAAGTATTCTTTCCACCTCCCGACGACATCCTTAGTCGAGGACAACTGCTTCCCCTTCCTGAGGTGCCGGATGGTTTCCCAGAATTTTTTCGAGGCCGATCGGTAGTCCTCTTTCATGGCCTCCCCGAACTTTTCCCAGACCCGAGTTTTTGCTTTCGCGACTACTGCTTTCCACTTGGCATGCTTGTACCCGTTGGCTGCTTCAGTAGTCCCACGAACCAACCAGGCTCGGTAGGACTCCTTCTTCAACTTGACGATATCCCTTACCTCCTGTGTCCACCACCGGGTTCGGGGATTTCTGCTTATATACAGAATATGAAGATGATTTTGTGTTTTTTGTTTGTATTTTTTCAAGCAGCTTTTCTTCTGTCTTTCTGTGTCATTTTCAGCACTACTTCCTGGTTGTGTTCGGTCACGATGGACAAAAGCCTCTGGAGCTCCGGACAGATGAGGAGTATGAATGTGATGAATGGGTGGAGGTCATCCAACAGGCCAGGTATGAGCTGAGAATAATACTATAATAATAATACTAAAGTAGAAGAAGTTTTTTTCCCCTTCATATTCATTTTGCTTCTGCTGAAACGGCCCAAAGTCGGGGCCCATTTTAGAGATGCAGTGTGTAACATTATAAGCTGCTCCGTGTGAGGCTTCTGGTTTTACTATATCATGTTATCACTTATTGAGAGCTCATGATTGGCTTAGAAAAATCCATATTTTCTGATATGACATTTGCTTATGATAGGGTATGTGACATTAAGTTTAATTGAACTAAATTTGAATTTTAGGAGAAAATGAAACCAGTTTGATGGTTTGGTTTTATTATTCAAAGGGTAATATATACCAGACCATGATGGTGATCTAATAGAGCGGGGTTAGGGGGCTGGGGAGCGGAGTGAGGAGGGGTTTTTACGGATTTCAGAACCCTCCGTTATGTTTTCAGCTATTCTGACATCATCATCGAACGAGAGGTGCTGATGCAGAAATACATTCACCTGATACAAATAGTGGAGACGGAGAAGGTGGCTGCCAACCAACTGCGCACTCAACTTGAGGATCAGGACACAGAAATTGAGAGGCTCAAGTCAGAGGTAAAACCACGTGTTTGTTTACTTACCCCCACCCCTCACCCCTAACCCCTCACCCCCCACCGTATGTGTGTGTGTGTGTGTGCGTGTATGTGTGTGTGTATATATAGATATAGCAGTGTTTCTAATGGTAAATGACTGCAGTACTGCAGGTGTGATGGGTTCTTTGTCACCTCTGGGTGTAGGAGGAACCGCCCACTGCCGCCAACTACTTGATGAAGACAGTCCATCAGCCTCCATACAAAGCACTGTCAAACAGTTGAGCTTATCGAACGCAGCACATGTTTGATCTGTTGTCACGGTGCAATAAATCTGACTCGTGCATTTAGACACAAAACAAAAGCGACCCCTGAAACATTGTTAATCACTGTTGGTGAGCATTAATTACAGACCCCCACAGTCACACTCCCACATACACACGTATGGTATTTATTTGCATATGGTAATTACAATTTTCTTTTACTTCATGGAGTACTTCTCAAATAGTGGGGTGGGCCTCTGTGGGGGCTGCGCGGTGAAGTACTATAGGGGACTTCCAATGGAATATGGCATGCTGGAGGGCACCACTGCTGTAAAGCTTGAATAATAACAAGCCTCCAGTCACTAGGTGGCAGCAACTCATACAGTGGTTTATACAGATAAAAATATACGTTATCAAGGCTCTCAGTAGTACTTCAATTCGCAGGGGTTGGAGGGAGGGCATAAAAACATGACAGAAAATAATTGAGAACCACTGCTCTATAGTAAACAATACTTTTCTCTAAGCCCAACTTCTCAGTCACATTGTGGATAAAATTTAAGATAGTTGTTTTTAATATAAAAGAATAATTATACTTTACTTTACTTATTTTACTTAAATATTTTGGACTATGAACTCACCTTTAAAAAGTGTATGACAAAGAAAACTATCTGTTTAATATTTATGTTTCCTCACCAGAATAAAAATGAAATTGTTGATGTGTTGTGTAGTGTTCACTGGTTACACTACTGGGCTGTTTAAGGTCTGTGTGGTTTTAATGAAGTGCTATTTATCAAATGTCAAAAGAAATAAATAACAACATGAATAATAAATGTCAAATGTTATTACACAGGGCCATTGAGATGATATAGTCTAATAAAAAAGGATAAAGGTATTTAAACGAAGCACAGAAAAAATAAATCTTTTAAGAGAATTTTATAGGGCCAGGGGACAAACTTTTTTATATTTCTTTTTTAATCAGAGTTTGTAATTTCTTTTAAATTTACATATTTCTCTATGATAAAACATGTCACTCTGTGGTAATTAAATAGTCCCGTTTGGCAGCTTGCTCTCATTTGAGGCCACAGGTGTGGCAGAACTGCCGATATGCTGCATCTCATCATCATGGGCTTATAATGAAAATGCTAACAAATTATATTTAATATTAGCTGCCTGTGCTCATGAAAGAAGGATTAGGCTTTGAGAGCATTTGTAATTGGTGATCCATCTCATTAAAACCCACCGCTGTTTGTTTGTTTGTGTTTGTTGCTATGTGTTGGTGAATAATTAAACCAGCTCGCCGCTTTAACTGTCAACACTTGGCAGACACTTGGTTCTTTTTTGCTGCCATTTGCAGGATGGCGGTAGTTAATAAGTCGATGAAGATGAAGACGTGTGGCTGTGAAACAGCTCTGATTTCATCTGTAATGCTTTTAAGGCGGTGTAAAGTCTTATTGTTTTCAGGAAAACAAATAAGTGCAGGTGTTTCCAACAACAACGTTCAGACCTTTTCATACGTCTTATTGGCCGTTCAGTTTACTGTGGGAGGATTTTTCTTGCAGCAGGTAGTTTATAATATTTTTAGCCCCTTTTTTTTCTTCATAGGATTTGATGATCAGGGTAGTCTTCTTGTCATTATGATGATCTGACTCTACTCAAAGCAAATGGTTGACATAATTAGAGGGATCAAGGCGATGCAAGCCATTATGTGATGCCCTTAAAGTCCTTTCTCTGCTGGAAACACAGCTCATTAAGACACAGGTGATCACTTCAGCACCCGCTGTGCTTAACCATACAGTGATGGGTACATACAGTGTAGACCATAATGGTTCCCTCAGAGAGCAACATTCGTATGTTGTTTCTAGATTAAGTCACACATTTGTCACATAGACTTCATTACTGAACAGTAGTAGTAAGACAGTAGTGAGACAGTGGCCATGTCTAATGGAAAGGCCAAATTCATGTAAATTTATTACAAGCTACTAGTTACTTGTCTGAAAAGAATTAACTGTTTTTTTATTAACTTATTTTTATTAACTTACTCTATTTATTAAGAAAACCTAAAGTAATTAGTTACCTGGTAAATTAACTGTTTATTATGAATGAATGAATGAATGAATGAATGAATGAATGAATGAATGAATGAATGAATGAATGAATGAAAGTTTATTTGAACACAGAATAAAAGAATAAACAATAAAACAATAAAAAAATAAATGTAAATACTACATCCTATTACATACTAAAATAATTATGAAAAGTAACCTGTTACTATTGTATACATTTTTTAAATGTAATGAATAATTATATAATTGTACCTATTGTAATTATATTATTATTGCTATGTCACTAATAACCTAAAGTTAAAATACAATATACTGTACAAATGTAGTTACTTTGTATATATTTTAAAAAGGCTAAGGCTTAGCTCAGCAGTATTTTGAGAGTTTGGAGTTTGCAAAGTTAGTAAAACACTAGAGCAGTTTTCTGGATGGAGTAATGGAGATCATGGAGATGGGTGGTGTTACGGTAGAGGAGGCAGGGGACGGCTAAGATGAAGATGAAGGCAGATTTTACGCTCTGGTGACTGCTGAAGGGTCGAGCTGAACTGAACCAGCTTCCTGATAGATGTGATTACATCAGCGGTTATTCTCATTCACTCACACTGTGGTTGTTTCCTTTGTTTCTACAAAGATTCTAGCTCTGAACAAAACCAAGGAGCGAATGCGACCTTATCAAATACCGCACGGAAATGAAGACCCAGATATAAAAAAGATCAAAAAGGTTAGTTTGATAAATGTGTGTATCTGTAAACTGTTGTCTCTGATTCACCACTGATGCTGGGGTTGCTGTACCATTTCGCTGCTTAATGATTCACGCATCTTTTTCTTTCTTTCTTTTTTTAAACCTTATTAGGTTCAAAGTTTCATGAGAGGTTGGCTGTGTCGGAGGAAATGGAAGATCATCGTTCAAGATTATATCTGCTCTCCTCACGCAGAGAGCATGAGGAAGAGGAACCAGATTGTCTTCAACATGGTGGAGGCTGAGACAGAGTATGTAACAGAGAGGGTCTTCATTACATATTCCACTAAATGATTCTGCTGTTGCTAGTTCAAGATAACTAACTACGAGTTATTTCCTGTGTTTGTGTGTGTGCAACGACAGGTACGTTCACCAGCTCTACATCCTGGTCAACTGTTTCCTGCGACCTCTAAGGATGGCTGCCAGCTCCAAGAAACCTCATATCAACCACGATGACGTCAGCAGCATCTTCCTCAACAGGTAAGAGCTGTATTTTCATGTGAATGGTGTTAAACACACTATTTCAGAAGAAAACATTCAAAATCGAAATATCTTCCATGGTATAAACTGAGGATGCATTCAGATTTTTTTTTTAATTACACCGTCTACAGTGAAACCATCATGTTCCTACATGAAATTTTTCACCAGGGCCTAAAGGCCAGGATCGCCAACTGGCCAACACTGGTACTAGGTAAGCTTTGACTGCAACACGTAAACAATTACACTGTGTACACACTGTAGCCAATGAGCTGCCTTTAATGACATCACTACTGTTGTTCTCTACAGCCTTTCACATTCAAATGACAACCTTCACATCCTTCCTTTCTTCTCTCACATTCACCCTTACACACACACACACACACACGCATTGGGGCAGGTTTTTCCTGAGTTGTGAGGACTTCACAGCGATATAACAAATTTGCTAACTCTTTACCCTAATCTTAATTCTTACCCTAACAGCCCTACAGCACTCTCTTAGATTTATAAACTGAAAAAAAAAAAAAACATAAAAAGAGTTTTGGACAACACGTTACAACAAGTTCATCAGTACCAAACTATACATCACAGCAGGTCCATTATATTCTCTTTCACAGCATACGTGACCTGCACCACACTCACATACTTCCCTGCCACTCCTGACACATAATCCTGTGCTGTTTTTTCCAGCCGACCTGTTTGACATCCTGCTGCCCATGTTGAACATTTACCAGGAGTTTGTCAGAAACCATCAGTACAGTCTTCAGGTTTTGGCCAACTGCAAACAGAACAGAGACTTTGACAAGTTGCTGAAACAGTACGAATCCAATGCGGCGTGTGAGGGAAGGATGCTGGAGACTTTCCTGACATATCCAATGTTTCAGGTGATGCCATGTTTACAGATGTGTGATAGCAAAAACTGCAGGCAACATTTAATCATCATCCATATTTTTCCTTTTTTTTTCTTAAAGATTCCACGCTACATTATCACCTTACACGAGTTGCTCGCTCACACACCACATGAGCATGTGGAGCGCAAGAGTCTCGAATTTGCCAAGTCCAAATTAGAGGAACTGTCCAGGTTTGCATCTTATATTCAGAATAAGAAGTATTTTTTTCCATTTACATTCTAAAACCTGGAATAACTGATGCGGTTTTGCACGGACAGAGTGATGCACGATGAGGTGAGTGACACGGAGAACATTCGTAAAAACCTGGCCATAGAGAGGATGATAGTGGAGGGGTGTGACATCCTGCTGGACACCAGCCAGACATTTATAAGACAAGGTGAGTCTTCAAAAGCTCACATGGTTTTTTTTAGACTCTGGGTTTAACTTTCTCATGTATTAACGTCAATTTAATATCGGCCTCATTTTGCTCTGCAGGTTCTCTGATCCAGCTGCCGTCAGTGGAGCAGGGGAAGCTCAGTAAGGTCCGTCTGGGTTCCCTGTCGCTGAAGAGGGAAGGGGAACGGCAGTGTTTCCTCTTCACCAAACACTTCCTGGTCTGCACTCGCAGCTCTGGAGGAAAACTGCACCTCCTCAAGGTGAGATGATCAAAGTCCGAATGTTTATTTGAATTATCAACAGCATTTTCAAACTTTGTGTTTGTTTCCTCTGATACTTTTATAGCAAGGTGGCGTTTTGTCCCTCATCGACTGCACACTCATAGAGGAACCAGATGCTGCTGATGAAGAGAGTGAGTTCACCATTCATCTGCTGAAGTCTATGCCAGTTGACATGTGCACGGCTCCAATTGGCCGATGCAGGCCATTTAACAATCGTAGAGGTTAATTAGGTGTCAGACAATTAGTGTCTGGAAATAATTCCCCCTTAAATATCAAGTGTTCATCTTTTTAAATGGCAGGATTTGACCTTTTGACATTATGTAGCTGTTTGTTCCTCAGGTTCATTTTTTTAAATAGAGAGTTTGTTGATGTTACACACACACATGCACACACACACTGCCTTAATCTCACACATTTATATTAAACCTCAGGGAAATGTAGAATAAAGCATGCAGGTGAGTCTGCCTCATTAACCCACTGTTTATTAGTGTTTGTGTTAGCGTGGGTGCCACCCCTAGAGTATGCACAGATGTATTATCATCTATTAAATATATACTTGTTCATTTCCATCATATCTATTTTTGTATCTCTCTATTTTTCTCTATTCCTTTTCCTCTTTTTCCTCTTTTTTTTTTTTACACCTGTCGTCCCCTTTATTTGCAGCCAAAGGTGGTGGTCAGGTGTTTGGTCAGCTGGACTTCAAGCTGGTAGTGGAGACCTCAGACTTACCTCCATTCACTGTGGTATTACTGGCCCCATCGCGCCAGGAGAAGGCTGCATGGACCAGCGACATCAGTCAGGTACCAGAAGTACTCAGAAAAACAAGAACCTCCAAACAGAGACAGCAGCTCTCCTGAGGGCAGTGAGAAGGCCTAGTGCTAAGTAAACACAAACACGGGTGCAGTTCTCCAGGGGCAGGTTTACTCACTGTCTGAGTATATGACAAACAGGCAGCAGCTCCATAAGAACATGTCAGAAAGCAGTTACTCCCACACCTAAAAAGTCTTCTACTGCACCTGCTGTTGGCTGGAGACTCAGTTACGAGTCACAGATGACACAGGATGGTTGAAACACATCCTTATATCCACACATTTGGCTTTTAAGACTTTTAAAATTACACTTTCTCCTTATGTACTGTACCATGTCTGAATGGATTATCTGAAAATCTACCAGAACATTGATGATTGGCTGTGCACAAACTTCTTAAGCTATTTATTTAACAGAATGGGTCATGTCTTGGAAAAAAAAAGTCACTACTGACTACACAAAATTTTACTTGTACAGTCCAGATAAAAATATTAATTTTTCTTTATATCTAATATAATAATTATAATACAAATTTTTTTTTTACATGTGTAAAAGTATATGTGAAGAGTAAAACAACTGTCTTCTAAAATTTCTTTTCCCTCCATTTTTTTCACTAAAGTATTTTAGTAATTGAGGTACTTGTATTTGATTGTCTTTTGCTTGTACATTTTTTAAATAAATATAATATCTTCTTTATTTTACACCAATCACTGATAGACAAATTGTTTCCCAGTTAATAGAAGAATAGAAGGTTTAATTTTTCGTTAATGGATAAAAAGAAGTCTGACCAATAAAGGTTTGTATTAAAGTTTGATGGGTTGGCAATTTGTTTTTTTTTTTGCACTTTTTATGTGCACAAAAAGATTTGAAGGGTAGTATTTTTGAGTTGATGATGATAAAACATTGAGCTGTTCACGCATCCTTTCCTTCTGTGTGTCATTTAGTGCATTGATAATATCCGCTGCAACAGTTTGATGACCAGTGTATTTGAGGAGAACTCCAAAGTGACGGTGCCTCACATGATAAAGTATGTATGTATGTGTGTGTTTGAAGATGAAAAGTCATCTCCTCACGCCGGCATTGCAACCACATAAGTTAAAAATCAAGTTTGTTCATTTGAAAAACACTACGATAAAATATCATAACATATTTGGTCAAACACACACATTAAATATTATTTACGTTGATACAGTCTTTGCTTTACCTCCTTTTTTTAAAAGTCTTCTATTCATTCTTCTTATTTACTCAATTATTTTTTTACCCAACTCCTTCATAACGTGTCACCCATGCTTGGTTATGTGTGTGTGTGTGTGTGTGTACACGTGTATCCATTAGATCCGATGTGCGTCTCCATAAAGATGATGTTGACATTTGCTTCAGCAAGACGCTCAACTCCTGCAAGGTCCCGCAGATCCGTTACGCCAGTGTGGATCGTCTGCTGGAGCGACTGACCGACCTGCGCTTCTTGTCTATAGACTTCCTCAACACCTTCCTCCACACGTACAGAATCTTCACCACGGCAACCGTGGTCATGGACAAACTGGCCGACATCTACAAGAAGCCGTTTTCCTCCATACCAATCAGGTCATTCACTGAATTCACACAAACACTAACAACATAAAAGAATATACTCTAAGTGTAAGTAGCAGAGGCGGTGCAGGGTCTGCCATGCAGAAGGTTGTGTGTTAGATTTCAATCTCACATAGTCCACTGTGCAGACTACTTGCCCTCGTAGTCTGTAGAAACACTGGTATGAAGCAGGCAGAATGTAGTTCCATAATAGCAAAGTTACAGTGCCGTGTTCTGTATGTTGATTATACTGCATGTACTATATAGTATTTTCAAATACAGATGACTACAAATTAACTATTAAATTGATAACTTGGTTACAGGAGTTGGTAACAGATACATGTAGGTTTTAGGAATTGGGATATTAGAAGCTCCACATCTTTGACCGCGACAGAAATTAATCTAAGTAATCAGAGTAGAGTTATGTGGGCTGGTTTAAGTCGAGCTCAGAGTATCCGTGGTGCCGAACATCCATAATTGTGCATAAGTAAGAATTTGAAAGGTTTACACCTACACTTATGTCTCAAATAATATAAGAAAGTGTGAACTGCAACATTTTTCAAGATGAACCCGGTGCTTTACAACTGTTGTTGTGCCAACACAGGATGAAGCTCCTGTAGACATGGAACAGATGCAGCAGTTTGTGGAAAGAGTCAAAAAATCTTGTGGTCTTGAGAGCGTCTGTCGTCTGTTTATTCCGCTTGTAGATAATTTAGTCAAATGTGGCCCAGACAACTTCCGCCCCCGAACACAAGGTTAAAGACATATTAGCAGGAAAATCTGTTCGAACTAAGAAGCAGAACAGATCTCCTAAATAGATCACAGATGTGTCTTCTAAATCTCTCCGTGTCTAACTCTGAGGTCTAATCCATGATGAGCCCCTCAGTGAAGTCTATAAAGGGGACATATTGCACAAAATCCTGTCAGTGTCTGCTGATTTCCCAGCATTCATATGTCTTTTTCTGCTCAGCTGTTGCTCTTAAATCTAAACAAAGCTCAGGTCTTCCTTCTGAGGAAAAGTAGAACGGCCGCCGTTCTGTCACCATTCCCTTTTTTTTTCTCCCCTTTTTAAAAACGGACACATTTATTGTCCTCGTCTTTCACATCATCTTCCATCACCGTCATGTCTCACACATGTCTCCCACATGTCTGCCACTGGCATGTGGCAATCATCACACCCATTCCTTTAATTCTATTTCTATATCAACCCATCTGCGTGTCCCCTTCCATTACAGGGCACCCTGTCCTTCATTTGACCGTCTGTCCATCTTATCCATGTGTTCTGACTACGGTCTGAAGAGAAAGAAGATAGCCATGGATCAGTCAAAGTAACCAACTCCTCTCTCCTTATTCCTCCTTCTTACTGTCTCGTTTCCTCTCTCCTCCCTGCTTCTTTTTTCTTCTCTGGTTGTTGGTACTTGATGCTTCTTTGGTGCATGAATATCTTCATTTATTTTCATCCCTTGATTAAATTAGGTAAATTAACTACTTTGAACCACAGAATAAGGAAATATGGGTTTGGATGTGCAGCTTGTTTGTAGCCTGATTTATTTTACTATCACTTCCTGTCTGGTTTTTCTTTTCTGCTTTGTTTCCAACTGTCACATCATTTTTCTCTGTTATTTTTTAACCTTGTAACTTAAAATCTTGAGCTGCACATGTTAATGTCAAAAATGTCACTCTGAGAGATTAAACCAAACAATATTCAACAATGTTTAAGAACACATCCCCTTCAACTTCATGTCCCCTTCAACTTCATGTCCCCTTCAACTTCATGTTTGCAAAATGACTGAATTAAAATGAAGGATTTTTTCATTTTGAAAAATATTCTAAAATATTTTTTTTTAAATTAAAACTTGATTTTAAAATTTGATTTAGTCCTACCCGTGCCTTGGATTTGCTTCCAAAACTTAATTGAAGCCATTTTAATCCAATCAAGTGTAGTATGCTAATTAACCAGATTAAGTCATTATTCTACTCTATATTTTTTAAATAAAATTTTATTGCTGATGCTTTTGTTGTTTTGTTGAGGGAAACTTTTATTTTTAAACATGCAGAATATGGACCATCATCATTTATCGTAGGGATCCGAACCTTTTACCGATATGCCGATATTGTCCAAACACTTTCCGATTCCGATATCAACCGATACCGATATAGACCTGGTAATATTTATTTATTTATCTGTACAAACCACTCTATGAGTATGAGATGTCTAATGTCTAATTTATTGCATTGTTAAACTGTGACAAAAATCAAATAGCATTTGTTGAATATTAGCAAATATATATTATATAATACACTACTTGACATAAACTCGTTGCTGCTTTTTAATTCCATTTAACCTCTTATTTCTGTCTGTCTTCAGGTCCTTGGAGCTCTTCTTTGCTACGAACCTGAATAACAGAGGCAGTGATCACACAAACAACAAATCTCCACGTTTCTGCCGCAAGTTCTCCTCCCCTCCTCCTCTGTCTATACCATCTCGCCCCTCCTCCCCCGTGCGGTCACGTAAGCTCTCCCTCCACTCCCCTGTCACAGCCAGGGTAGGCGGCCTGGACCTCACAAGTCCCCTGTCCAATTTCAGTGTCAACAACAACATGTCCCAGTCCGCTGCCAGCAGTCCTACATCAGCTCACACCCCTCTGACCCCGACCCCTCAGACACCTACTCCAACTGCCTCTTCTCCTCCTCCTCCTTCTCTTCCTTCCTCATCTATCTCTCCCCCACCCAACAACTCCAAAACACCCCAGGACCAAGTTCCTCCCATCCCCTCATCACCAGATCAGAGTCCTGGTCCGACTGCAGAGGGCGACGATGTTCAGAGGATTGACCCTTTCTGTGGGAAACTGAGACGCAGCATCCGCCGAGGTATTTGTCATCTGGACAAAAGAAACAAACACTGTGATTCATTAAAATAACAACATGAATTATAATGAAAATCAAAACATGCAATTTTCAGTCTCACAGTTGAAGCACTAGACATACTAACACTGCAGCTGAGAAAGTAGATAAAGCCTTAACCATAACTGTTTTATGTACACTGAAGTACTGTGACATCTGTTACGAATACTGACTAACACTGAAATCCTGTGAGCCCTGTGGCATCTTGCTGCGTGTACTTTCACAGGATGTACACCTAATGATGTGGGTACGTGACACTGTGTTTGAATCAACATCCTTATCTGACACAGTGCGATACATCTGAGGAACATGCTTCACCAATCAGATGACACATGTTGAAATAGCCTTAATCATGAGCCTGGCAGGATGTCATTATGTCCATACACCAGTGTGAGGCCAACTTCCCACAAACCCCATCTGATTGTAGTTAGATGGATGAATGGAGGGATGGATGAATGGAGGGATAGATGGATAGATGGATTGATGGATTGATGGATGATAGATAGATGGATAGATGGATGGATGGATGGATGGATGGATGAATGGGTGGATGGATGGATAGATGATAAATAGATGGATGGATGGATTAATGGATAGATGGATGGGTGGATGGATGGATGGATGGGTGGATGGATGGATGGATAGGTGGATGGATGAATGAATGGATAGATGGATTGATGGATGATATATAGATGGATGGATACATGATGGATGGGTGGATGAATGGATGGATGGATGGATGGATGGATGGATTGATGGACAGACAGACAGCTTATCGCCCAACATGAAGTGTCACTCGGACCTGGGAAGGACTGACAGTGAATCAGGAAGAGTTCAGTCAGGAGAAAGAACATATTGAACCTCATTAGAATCTCTCTGTTTGTCTCTCTGTCTCTCTGTCTCTCTCGCTCTCTCTCTCTCTCTGTCTCTGTCTCTCTCTCTGTCTGTCTTTTTCTCTCTATATATATCAGTAAAAACTGCTAACATTCAGTGATTAAATCTTTAGTCTCCAGCCTCAGACGTCTGTATTGTCCTTTAAACTCAACTGTCCAACTCGTCCGTCTTCCCCTCAGCCGTCCTGGAGTCGGTGTCTCTGGAGAAGATTATTCCAGAGTCTCCTCAGAGCAGTGAAGCAGGAGACTTGTCTCCCTGTCGCTCTCCCTCTACACCTCGACACCTCCGCTACAGACAGCCTGGAAGTAAGACTTGGACTTGTTCTGGACGTGTGTGGGGGGGGTGTGAGAAGAGGATAAAGTGGCATCTGTCGGCAGAAGTATGAGTATATTACTCCGACTTTTGTTTTGAAATTGATTGCAACTCTTCAAAACATTTTAGTTCAACCATCTTTTATGTTTAATTTTAATTTTAAAATGAGGAATTAGAAATAGAGTGTGGATTAAGTTAAATTAATCCACGCTCTTAACTATGAGTAATGAGTTGAATGAATGGAAAAACTACAAATGTCCACATATTGATATTTGGGAGTTGGTGATTGATCAACAAATACATTTTTTTAATTTACTGGACTTGTTATCTGTGGCTGTTGTGAGGTTTTAATTTATTTTTTTATTTTCTTTTATGACAATTGGACTGATTTGAATGAAAAGCCATTCTGTGGCCCCTGTAATCAAGTGAAGACACCACTGAAATATAATTTATGTATAAAGTCAGATGATTAGAAACCTCAGTGCTAATAACATGGTCAAATGTAGGATTATATATTTTTTTGTGCTTATTGTGTCTGCAGTCCAGTCAGGAGAAAACTCACGCTGCTTAGTGTCTCCTGCCTCAGCCTTTGCCATTGCAACAGCAGCAGCCGGACATAACACTACACCAGGTCACACACACACACACACACACACATAAAAATTTGAAAAATAGAAAAATAAAAAAGATACATGTTAGATTTTTAGACAGTGGTTTAGGAGTGCTGTATTTGTTCATAAAATAACAAATACACCGAAGCATTTACCATATTTGAGGTTGTGTTTGTGCTGCTCAAAGCACAAAAAAAGTGTCCCACATTCACAGACCATACATTACATAATTATTTAATCATTAAAATTTACATTTACAAAATAATTAGTGCTCAGGAAAATGATTCTACTCTGGATTATCCTCAGCCTTCTTCTTCTTCTTCTTCTTTTTCTTTCGGCTTTGTCCCTTTTTTCAGGGGTTGCCACAGTGAATCATTGTTTTCCATCTCTCCCTGTTCTCTGCATCTTCTACTCTGACTCCAACTATCTGCATGTCCTCCCTCACTGCATCCATATATCTCCTCTTTGTCTCCTACCTGGTAGCCTTAATACTGTATATACTGTAATAAAATGTTTTTCAGAGTTTTTCATCATTTTGTTGAAGTAGTACATTTAAAATTATTTGTATTAAAATTATGAATCCATGAATACTTAATACTATATTCTGGTGTTAAAATTTAATATTTGAAATATTTTGTTCAAGAAAAAACCTCCTTACAGCATATTCACGCTTGGCTTGTTGTAAGGACTATAACGTATTTTGATCAGATCTATCTTTATTTATTTATTTATTTTTAAATATTTTCTATTTCTTCTTAAGTATTTTTCCCTTGCTCTTGTTGGACTCCTCTTGTCAGAGCAGCTGTAATACCAAAAATTCTGAAAAGATTCTGATGCTGCATGAAGAATGTTGACTGACGTTGACTGCTGTAATGGATTTGAATAATGAGTTGAATAATGATTTTAACAGATTCATGTTTTTTTTTCTTCCAGTGTTTACAAACTCTGAACGCACCTGTGATAAAGAGTTCATTATCCGCCGAGCCGCAACCAACAGAGTTCTGAATGTGATGCGACACTGGGTCTCCAAACATTCTCAGGTCTGCAAACCCCCGCCCCCTCCCTACACCACACCCACCTTGATTCTGTTGGGTGATCAAGTTAGTCTCATTAAAACTGATGTCTGGTGAATTCTTGGTCTGCTTCGTTGCTCACGTCCGAGCCCGTAAACAAAACCATGCACACGGACATGTGCTGCATACCATTTCTATATCAAATGGACGGCCTTAGCCCCCTTCAGACCACCGACCCACTCTGCTGCTAAACGGCCAGTAGTGCCTCTAATGAACAGCATATCAAGGTAATTGGCTGACTCCCTGCACAGAGGTCCTCCCAGTCCAACTGCATTGATCTGTTTGATTTACTTCTCTCCAATAGCACAAAATGCTGTGTTGACAGGTCAGCTGCAGTGGGCTTATTAGCACACATACACACACACAGATTTTTGTGGGCTGTCATTAAAAAAGCTTGTTAAAACTGACCTTTGACATAAAAGGAAGTGAGAAAAGACTGTTAGGAAACACATTTCAGTTCAATGAATGACAGAGAGAGGTCACTAATGAGTAATAAATTAGTAAATGCCAAACTACAATAATTACAGACAGATTGAATGGGTAGTGAATAAATGTTACTAATATGTATAATAAAAATTATTCTCTGTATAAAGTTACACTTTACATTGTTTGAATCATTTTTATGGAAATAATAATCATTTATCTAACCCTGTGTGAATGAATAGAATTTATTCCCAAAGAAAAAATAATAAAAAATAGACCTGTTCATTTTTGTGAATTGTGTGGGGAATCTAAAATGGTGTCTTGTCATTGTTTCTTTCTTTCTTTCTTTTTTTTTTTTTTTTTTTTTTTTGAAAATGCAGCAAACTTTTTAAAGCAAACCCATTTATTACAGGACTTTGAGATGAACGTAGAGCTGAAGATGTCTGTGATTTGTCTCTTGGAGGAGGTGCTCAGAGACCCTGACCTCCTACCTCAAGAGAGGAAGGCCACTGCTAACATCCTGAGGTAGCACACACACACACACACACACAAAGACACTTCGAAGCATAACATAGAGCAGTGATTATCAACTTGTGGACAGCGGGGTTGAATTTGGCTCACCAAGTTGTCCTATCTGGCCCACAATTTTGATATTTATCAAATATCAAATAGTTGCTAATAGTTTTTCATTTTAAAAACATAAATATCTTTGTTTTTCTTTTGTTCATAACATTGATGTCATGATGTATCTTTGTTCAACTTTTCATCATTAGTCTTTATCTCGGGTCAAGTTATCAATATCAGTTTTTTAAAAAAAGCACGCGTCAACTGACGGAGCTTTGATGCAATTTTTAAACAATTTAAATTATCTTAACCATTCAGTGCAGCTTATAAACAATGGCTTTATTTCAATAAAACACTAATTTATTTTCATTATATTATTCACTTTTCCTTGTTCTGTTTTCTAGTGCATTTTCTCAAGACGAGCAGGACGATGCCCAGCTGAGAATAGAAGACATTTTACAAATGGTGGGAAAAGTTCAGAGATATTTCAAACCTCCGTGTCTGTCTCTCTCTGTTTAACCTGTTAACGTTGCTTTGACGTCGGTGGTATTTTTATTTATCATTTATTTCCTTCTTCTGAATGTCATGTCATCAGTTGTTCCTGCAGACACACTTTGTGATTTCATTTTGTTTTATTTGTCTCTGTGGCATTAAGTCTGTTTTATTACACCACCATAGGCGTCCTAATGTATTTACACTTTAATGTTCACCTCTCCTGAAATACCCAGAGTGAGTCTGTCCACACCATCAGCTGCTCCAGGCAACCAGGAGAAATAGACGCTCTCCTCCACACTGGCACAGACTGTCAGCTGTTATGAAACATTTCCCCATCACCTGACCACTATTAGATATTTATATATCCTTACTATTTACGTTACTGAAATTATATTTGTACTTGACTCTTACAGGCTCTCTCTCTTTCTCTGTCTCTGCCTCTCTCTCTCTCTCTCTGTGTGTGTGTGTGTGTTCAGCCGGACATTCCAAAGGCTGAGTGTTTTGAATCTCTCTCAGCGATGGAGCTCGCTGAACAGATCACTCTGCTGGATCACATTATCTTCAGGAGCATCCCATACGAGTCAGTTCACTGATCACACTCTCACACTGTGATCTACACACACACACTATTAAAAACATATTTATATATTTAAATATGTATTGTTTGTGTATATATACATATATTTATATATATATATTTGTTTTTGTATATTTATATTGTATATCTATTATTATTGTTGTTGTGGTAAATAATAATCATCATCCTCGTTAGTATTATTAGTATTATTTATTTTATGTCAAAACATTTAAATCATGTTTATGTGCTGTAGTTCTGCTACAAAAATGTAAAAAGTTGAACCGAATTTTTTGCATTTGAAACCTCTTTACATTTCATATATGACAGAGACTGTATGTTCCTTCACATTTTTAATGTTTTACTATTTTGACTATGGCGCTTTGGCCCAGAGGCAATGTCTCTGTCATTGGTGTGGAACCCCAGGGTTCATCTCCTGGACAAGTTTGAATCCCAGTTAGGGAGGTTGGTACCTTCCAGTGGACTCACCACCTGCAGGAAGGTTCAGGGGGGTTGGTACGGTGCAATGTGATTTGGGTGGCGACTGCTGACCCGGTAACGGATAAGTGGATGAAAATGGATTGATGGACTATTTTGACTGTCTTTTTTTAAATTCCTTTTTATTAGTATGTCATTGTGAATTATATCGTGTGTTGTGTCTCTGTCTCCTGTCTGTCAGAGAGTTTCTTGGTCAGGGATGGATGAAGGTGGACAAGACAGAACGGACGCCTTTCATCATGAAAACCAGTCAACACTTTAATGACGTAGGATTGCTGTGTGTCGTCCTGATCAAACACATGTCTCCACATCTGCGTTACCATCAAATTCACACACTGACTCTTTTTGTTCTGTTTTGTTTTGTAGATGAGCAACCTGGTGGCATCCCAGATCATGACCCACACTGATGTGGGCTCCAGGGCCAGTTCCATAGAGAAGTGGGTCGCTGTGGCTGACATCTGCCGCTGTCTCAACAACTACAACGGCATCCTGGAGGTCACATCTGCCCTCAATCGCAGCGCCATCTACCGTCTGAAGAAGACCTGGGCCAAAGTCAGCAAACAGGTGAAGTAAATGTCAGATCATGTCTTAGAATCATCAAAAGAGTTTTCAGAAGAAAACGGTTTCTGATGACTATAGAAAAGTGGGAAAAGCTATTTTATCTTTTTGATTTGTTTTAATGAACGAGTAGAATTAATTCATTCTGGGAGGAAGTGAGTGGAGAACATCATTAACCTGTCATGTTTCACCTTTGTTTAATTCTTATTTACCTTCAGTGAAAGAGAGCATGTGATCAACCAATTACGAGAATCTTCACCAAACCATTTTCCTTTTAAGAACCCTGGTATTATATTATTAGTTCAATAAGTAAATGTCAAGCTAATGCACCCCTCTATGACGTTTGTAATAAACTTTTTTTTAAATAATTAATATTATTATTATTCACAGACTAAGGCCCTGATGGACAAACTGCAGAAGACAGTGTCCTCTGAAGGACGGTTCAAAAATCTGAGGGAAACCTTGAAAAAGTCAGTCAGATTTTGTTCTAATCTTTACATTTAAATAATCCTCTGTACACCTTTCTCATGCATGCTTTACTTTTACATATTCTGGCTGCAGCTGCAACCCTCCATGTGTTCCATATCTGGGAATGTATCTCACTGACCTGGTCTTTATTGAGGAGGGAACTCCTAACTTCACAGAAGAAGGCCTTGTTAACTTCTCCAAGATGAGGATGGTGGGTCCGTTCATGGATGAACTAGAACAGTGTTTCCCAACCTTTTTTGAGCTGTGGCACACCACCAAAAAACACACACAAAAAATACTGTAAATGTAAGGAAATAGCTTTTTTTAAAGTTTTCATAACCATCTGCTGCCACCTAGCAGAAGAGGATTTAATTGCTCTGCCTTTCCTGCTTTGATGAGCAAAGAAAAATTATATGCAATAAATAAGTAATAGTTTTCAGCACAATTAAGTGAAATTGGATAACTTTCCATGGCACACTAGTGTACGGCAGCACAGTGGTTGGAAATCACTGAACTAGAACACGTGGGGATTCTGACAGAAATGTCATGTTCACTGTAGTAACTGTTGATTCTGCTTTTACTCAAGATTTCCCACATCATCAGAGAAATCCGTCAGTTCCAGCAGACTCCGTACAGAATAGAACTCCAAGTCAAAGTAGATGTTTTTCCTTCTCAAATGATGAGCATTAATTTGTTTAACAGAAAAAAAACCCCTCCGTCTGATATTTGTCCTTGGACTTGCTCTTCTTCCAGGCGACCCAGTACCTTCTGGATAAAACTCTGACCATGGATGAAGACACTCTGTATGATCTCTCGCTTAAGATTGAGCCCAGGCTTCCTGCTTGAGCCTAGAGCCTTGAGCCTGTCAAGAGGAATTCTGGAAGTTTTGAGCGCGACATGGAAGTGGAAGTCTGAGCCTCGCTGCGGGAGAGATTTTAAAAGTCCATTGCGATTTGCAAATGGGAGTTCATGTGAGCAGGTGATCATAAAGGGGTTCACTGCGGTGGCTGTAACAGTGATGTAGCATTATACTAACAGAGGGATGTGTGTGCTTGTGTCACTGTGTTGTTCTGTTTGTGTTCTGTCACCTGTGCATTTGCTACCACGTCCTGCGGCACGGGTCGGAAAACCCCGTCCACACTGGTGTCTGTACAGAGTTTGCATGAGTTAAACTTGAGATGGAACCACATTCATATTAAACTGTCTCCATCATGACCCTCAGCTGAGCGACCTATGCACCCTCAGTAGGGCCCAGAAAAGGAAAATGCCTACAGAACATAACAAACAATGTAAAAGACATTCAAATGTAATGAACGGCTGGATTCTGTTTTAGTTTTTAACCTAAATATATCTGGTGAGAATAAAGAGTTAATGTTTTACATAAATATTACAAGTTAAGATGACTAATAATATAATAATTTATAATTATATATAATTATATATTATTTTGTATGTAAAGTTCTTTTTTAAACAAACAGCATGGAGGTTCCCTTTAATGGTTTTCTTGAGGAAGTTTGCGTGAAGTACACAAGAGTAAAATCATGTTATTTATTATTATTTAATCATTGTTTTTATTGTTATTTAATCATCCATCCATCCATCCATCCATCCATCATCAACCGCTTATCCGGGGCCGGGTCGGGGGGCAACAGTCTGAGCAGCGACACCCAGACTTCCCTCTCCCTCGACACTTCCTCCAGCTCTTCTGGGGGGACCCCAAGGCGCTCCCAGGCCAGCCGAGCGACATAGTCTCTCCAGCGTGTTCTAGGTCTTCCCCTAGGTTTCCTCCCAGAGGGACGGCACTCGAGTACCTCCCGAGGGAGGCGTCCGGGGGGCATGCGATGTAAATGCCCAAGCCACCTCAGCTGACTCCTCTCGATGTGGAGGAGCAGCAGCTCTACTTCAAGCTCCTCTCGTGTGACAGAGCTCCTCACCCTATCTCTAAGGGAGCGCTCTGCCACCCTGCGGAGAAAGCTCATTTCAGCCGTTTGTATCCGGGATCTCGTTCTTTCGGTCATGACCCAGAGCTCATGACCATAGGTGAGGGTAGGAACGTAGATTGACCGGTAAATCGAGAGCTTTGCCTTTCGGCTCAGCTCCTTCTTCACCACAATGGACTGATACAGCGACCGCATTACTGCGGCCGCTGCACCGATCCACCTGTCCATCTCACGTTCCATCCTACCGTCACTTGTGAACAAGACCCCAAGATACTTAAACTCCTCCACCTGAGGCAGGACTTCCTCCCCAACCCAGAGGGTGCAAACCACCTTTGTCCGGTCGTGAACCATGGCGTCGGACTTAGATAATTCTCATCCCAGCTGCTTTACACTCGACTGCAAACCGCCCCAGTGCATGCTGCAGGTCCTGGTT